AATCATAGAGCTGGAAGGGACTTTAAAAGTCACCTAGTCCAACCTCATGTGCAGTGCAGGATCCGTCAAAACATTTCAGACAGATAGCTATCCAGTCTCTGTTTGAAGACCTCTAATGAAGGAGAAATCCCCACTTTATATGGTAGCCAGATCCACTGGCTGATAACTCATACTGTCAGGAACTTCCTCCTGAAGTCTAGCCTGTATTTTTTATCTTATAGTTTTAACCCAAAAATCCTTTATTCAGCCTATCATTTACAAAAATTCACCAAACTGATTTTAAAAAAGGAGAAATAATTATTTGGCATATATTGTGCAACCTATTTTGTGTATCCACAAAAAATAAACCCACAACCTTTCTTAAGACATACATTCAGATCCTAACCACATCTATTAAATAGTCCTATTGATTTCAGTAATGCCCTCTTTCAAGTCAAATATAAATCTCAAGAACCATAGAACACTAGAGTAAGGAAGGATCTTAAAGAGCATCTAGTCAACCTCTGCTCAGTGCAAGTTCCAACAGAGCATCTCTGACAGATGGCCAACCAGGCTCTGTTTGAAGACTTCCAATGAAGGAGAACTCATCACTTCATGTGGGAGTCTGTTCCACTGGATGACAGGTCATACAGTCAGGAGATTCCTTCTGCGGTACAGCCCCATGCTACTGCATTGTAGTTTTAACCCAGTGGCTCTAGTCCTGCCCTATGGGACAACAGAAAATAAATCCACTCCTTCTTCTATGTGATAACTCTTCAGATACTTGAAGAGTGCTGAAACACATCTCCCTTCAGGTGTCTTTTTATAGGCTAAACATACCCAAATCCTTTCAGCATTCAAGGGCTTGATGCCCACCATATTCTTTCCACCTCATTTTTATTTAGAATGTTTAATTTTAAAATTTTAAGGAGAAAGTTGAAATACTGCAAAGTGAAGTGAATCCTCATATAGGAGGGAGGTGGGCTTCAACTGTGTGGTCACAAATGTTGTCTGGACTTCTTTTCCCCACCCCTACCCCCAAGGCCCTGGCGCTTCAAATAACATACAAACAGAAGAGAAATATTATTTAAATATAGTTCATATGATTTTAGGCTGAAGTTTGGGGTTGAAATTGTCTTAATCAGTGTAGAAGAAGGGAGGGAAGAAGAGTTGACTCCTGATTCTCTTGTCTTTTCACTAGCTTTTGATTCCATTGATCCTGATATCTTATAGCAATGGCTGGGATGTAGTGTTAGCCACAGTAATTCCACTATTTTCTAAATCAGCTTTCTGATTTGAGCTATAAAATCTGTACATTTCCATTTTATCACAATACTTTTCACAACTACATTAAACTTCTAGGCAAGCTCATTTGGAAATTTAGAGGGAGATGTCAACATTTCTAGGAAAATCCCATTCTGTCTCCCAGGACTCCCAGAATCAGATTGTTGCTGAAGCCACTATCTGACATGGTAATTTGATAGATAAAGACTTATAAACTAAAGATAAATCCTGCCAGTATGAAAACCTTGCAGGCAGATGATCCTGGGAATTGGAATCCAACCCATTCTGGAAGATGTATTCCCCTTGAAGGACCAGATATTCAGCTTGAGGTGTTCTTTGATCTAACAATGTCATTTGAGACCCAAGTGGCCTTGGTGACTGGGACATCTTTTAGTCATCACCACCTGTGTCATTTCCTGGACTCTAATAACCTTGACTCAATAACCTTGACTTACAGTCCATAGCCATCAAGAAGGAATCGATCTGTGCAAAAATTGAAAGCTAGAATTAAGAGCAGTTTATGTAGATGAAGTCATAAATGAATTCTTAAAATATTAAATTAACTCTTACTTTGAATGTCCTGGCTACTTCTTTTAAATCCCTAAATAGCTTGGACCCCATACATCTGAAGGGGAATCTCTCCTCAAGGAGAGATCTTTAGAGGAATCCACTGCATTAGTGGGAGAAACACATATTGCCTTTACAGAAAAAGAGGTTTTTGTTTTTAGTGGCATCTCACCTTTGAAACATGCTCTCAAGACAGATATGGTTGGAACCAACCTTTCTTTTTTTGTTTCAAATCAAACAAATCCTTTTTGCCAAGGCATTATTTAAAAAATATATATTGAAATTTGTTTGAAATTACTGTATTATACCTCTTCATTTATAATTTTATTGTTGCTTATGTACATCAACCTGGGATTCCTTGCAGTTGAAAGTTGGCATGTACTATATCTATTTTAGAAAATGGAACTGATACAAACTAATAAACTAATAAAGATTCTAAAACCTTTTTAACCAGCAGCTTGATTCAGACAAAAATTATCAAAATAATTATTTTGCAGACCATCTAATCAAAACATCTACCAGGCATTGAACTATGTTTTGGATTTTAGCAATTTTCTTAAACTTTTTTCTCTCAGGAC